ATATGAGTCACCAACAGCCGAAGTGCAAGCCTTTGTTGAACCGGCCGAAGGCTTTCCCAATTGGGCATAATTGAGCTGTCTAACCAAATGGTTTGTGCGTATGGAACTTTGAACGAACGCTGGTGGAGAACAATTTGCGAGAATGTAATACCAATTTTTGTGCAACAAATAAAACTATTTATGTTTAGAGTTTGAAGTCTGTATCATCCATTCGATTGTCCCAAGGAGTGAAACCCACACCCCATCAAGAGGGCCTGGAGCATCCGAACAATCGAATGGGTTAATCCAAGCTTAAAGCTCTAAAAGTACTTGACCCATTCACACAAGGTGATAACCATCTACCGCGTAGCTCAGGGGTAAGGGTTTGAAGCCCTCATCCGAATGTCCGCGGTTCGTGTCCTAACAGGGACACAAAAAGTACGCCCTGTTGACGAGTCCCACACGGGACGAGACAGCTGCCCAGTGCTCTTTGTCCGTTATCACAAACATTTAGAAGCTTTTAGAAGCTTTCTATGCTGCCGAAAAATGTTTGCTCAGTTCACGTAGCCCTGTTCCAACATTTTTCATGAAAACTCGATCAGTAAAAATGGTATTGCGTTCATCTAGTTTATCAATGTTGCTGGAATGACACTAAATCCATCTATTGCATCCGTCATTTTCTATTTTCTTTTAATGCACAACTCGTGATGGTTGCAGGAAGTGAAAACAGTGGTCATATAGACAGGTTGTGTTTATCAGAACATTGAACACAAGCACTGAATCTGGTAGTGGTAAACCATACAAGATAGTAGTTGAATAAACATGTCATTGAACTGGAATATGGTGAAACAATCCAATAACAACAACAACAACAATAACAACGACAACAACAACATTTGACGCAGATATTGTCTTATCAGGTGCTCAAACGAGTGGAACAATCGATCCAAGTTTATTCAGTGCCTTCACAGTCAGCTATACCTTTGTGGTGAAATGGATTATACAAATGAACAGGACGAACAGCTACTGTAAATTAATATCACATCGGCACGTGGATCTAGTGCATGTGTAGGGTGAATGCACACAATGAGAATCTGTGCTTCTACTTACTGGTTGGATAAAGGTCAAGTAGACGTACTTCCAACAATGCCACAGATAATTCATTTCTTTGGTTATAGGATCGTCCCTTTTAGATGGGTTCAGTAGCTCAGCTGGTTCAATAGCAATAACAAAACATGTGAGCTGCTCAAAACAACCTCAGCCGTTCTCATTATTTGAACTGATTTAGCTGGCCGACTCTATGTTGTTATAAAAACACTGGTAAGCAATCATAGACTACGTCAATTGCAACTATGATGTAACACCTGAAAGCGATTACCTAATCGTAACTAAGACAAATAAATATTGGTTTCAATGGGGTAATCTATAGGATAAAAATACCTGGTAGCAGCTGCTGCACAAAGTGTTAGTACTGTGAAGTACGAAGAGATACCATTGATCGATTCCGTTTGTGTTATAGCACCAATATCTAAAGTGACTAATATGAGTGGTGGTGGCGCAGTGGTTTAGTCGCTGTCGCCGGCGTGCTTTGGACCCTGTAGTCTGAGGTTCGAGTCCCGCCATCGTCAACCAACTTTGGTGGGAGACAGCCTTGCTGTTGCTCGGTTCTATACCACGCTTGACCTATCGGGGCCTCATGTGGTTCGCCACTCCAAATCTCGGGGATCAGGTTACCGGTTACCATCACTGAACAGCAGGTCTTTGTGACTATGGGCCCGCTCCTTCTGCTGTTCATCACACACCGGTGTGTATTTAAAAAAAATAAACGAGTTATACGATAATCAATACGATTGAACTAGAGGTGACCAATAGTCCAAGAACTAAGGAAGATGAACAACAGAACGTATGATGATGAGTTTCCATCGAGCTGGACTTTCACCAAAACCCTCGACTCACTCCTAAATTGGCAAGTTCCTGTTAGAGTAAATGCTCCTACGGATTGCAGTACGCAATGCATCTGCTGGGATAACCCCACTCAATATCTTCCGGTGGAGGGAGTGTTTTCGTCTGTGTGTAAGAGAGGAACCGATACCTGAATTGGTGAACCAGGGTGGGGTAGCTGGTGAGACGAAATTTCGCATATCACTATACGTGTGGAGCGAGTTGAAACCAAATTATTACTGTGGTGATAGTTACCGGCTAAAAGGGGAGCATTGGGCGACCTGGAGACTTGAATCCCTACTCAAGA